AAAAGTCCACTGCCTCTCTGACGCGCCGCTGCCATTATTTCTCACTAATCTGCATTCATTTACAGGTCATCACTCTATAAGCAGGTACAAATACTCTCAGCCAAACAGTTCTCAGGCTCTTCTGCAATGCCACCAAAACTTATGGAACACCTTCTTGCGTTTGAGGAGATTGTGGTGGGGAAAATGTTGATTTAGCTATATTTATGACAATAAAAAATGGCCCAAACAGGGTGTTATTTTTATGGGGGAAGTAAGTCTATTTCTTTATTTTTTTTACCAGAAATTTTGCTCACCAATTACATGGAGCTCCAGACAAAACACACATATTGAATGGCTATGTGTTGAGGTAGGGAGCCAATTTGGTTGATGTTGGAGATTGATCTTTGGCTGGCTCAAGAAGTCTCATAACCTCAATACTGAACAACCTCAACATCTCTGGCTACTCTATTGTCTTTTGCTAAGCATAATTGACAATGACACCAATAATTTTCTCTCAGAATAGAACTGAACTTACATCCAATACGTGAACCGGACACCCAGAATAACAGCCCCAAGGTATGTATCATACTCTTTATATTGTATTCTCAATGTCTCACTGTTACAGTATATATGAAGACCTACCAAAGGTGGTCAGCCACCACCAAGGTATATGATGTCTACTACCTTGCACAACCTCCAAAAAATTGATGATACGTGACTAGGTACCAGTGAACATTTATCTGGGCCCAAGGCTAAACAAACAGGAGAAACTGCAGCCCAAAAACTTTGGAGCTTTGCCCAAAGATTTTATATTATTATTGTAATGCTATTACTACATTCCACATGGTATTTATATAGATTTGGTATATAGGAAGCTTGTATATTTTTTGCCAAAGTATCCTTCTCCCATGCTTATTCCCATTCTCTGAATGTATCTGTATACCCAACCTTGACAGCTTTGGTAGCAGTGAGAAGGCTGACAAAGAAGTTTTGGGGAATGAACATCGTGGTGGTGGTTTTCACATCTCGTTAGCAGAGTCCATGTGGGAAAAATATGCTGCCTTATTGTGTCAGGCTTTAACTGTATTGTGTATAGTTGAAGATAGATTATCTACATTGTAGGATACCTCATGTCTTGCATTGGTCATTTTTGAATAATAGAACATGATGTTTTATGCATGGCTGGTGGCAGCAGGCGATGGACTGTGTCTTGCACTTATTCACTCATTCTCTTATTGCAAAGGAAAGGGCCCAGATGGGTCTCAATGCAACTGTGAACACTACAGCCCATCTGACAAAGACCAAGCTCCACCCCACAGATGCTTATAATGCCACCATGGTCCAAAAATGCATCCATTGTTTATGCAGCAGAGGCAGCCTACAGAGCAAACCAGAAAAAAGGATATACTGGACCTCTTCAGCAAGATAGCTACTACAGCCAATGCAAAACCATCACTCAGAGGGCAGCAGGCACGGATAGTGTCAACACTGCAAAGTCAAGGTCCTTGAAGGTTCCCACCCTTGGAAGCATTGGAAAGGTGAAGGACAGAATACTGGTTTTGTGGTGGTTAATTTGTACGTTTTGTTGGTGAATCTTTTAGATGTGAGTCCCATCTATCTGATTTGTTGCCTTGCATTCATTGGAAAACTCACCTATGTTTTCAGATTTTCCTGATTGTATCTTGAAAAAGATGAAGAGTAAGTCATTATTTGTCCATGTTTCTCTCTTCTCCACTATTTTTTCTATTGCTTGCATGTGGTCATTGAAGGCCCAGCCTCTATGGATGCTCAAAGACCCTGCTACACAATGTATGTATGTTTTCTCTACATGGCAACCCTAATGCTCACTTTTCACAATCAAGCCTTTTTCAATTCAGATCAAGAAGATTTGTTTACTTTGCCACTGAGTGTCAAGGCAATGTCTCTATCCCTTAGTGCTTCAAACCACTGTATTTTTGTATCAACTTCAAATGCACTACTGGCAAGGACAAGCACTATTAAAGAGGAAGACCGTGATTGAAATATCATCATCATCCTCTCCACTGCACCTCTTTAACAGCACTCCCAACCATCATACATTCAGTCATAAATCCAAACCTGTTGCTCAACTGCCACACTTTGTTGTACCATCTGACAAAGATATTTCAAAAATGTATGTCCTTACTTGTCAGAAGCTGGATCTACAACCTCATGGTGGTCTGATAGATATACATACATTTCCCTTGCCCAGGTTTTAAGCTTACATCCCATATTTTACACTGCTAGTCCAGTCATTTTTAATTGCACTCTTGTTTATACTTTCATTCATTAATCTTTGCTTGTTTGGTTTTGTCATGGACAACTTAGTACTTTAAAAGTCTTGCATCTTGTAATAATATACTTCATTGGTGGACCAAATACAGCCATGTGCTAGTGTGAGCTAATTTTGTTTTTTTTGCCTCATGTGTGGGGTAGTCTGTATTGCGCTATTGCAGCATTGTACCGCGGAATGGTATTTACAATTATCTACCGGCACTTGAACCACCACCAATGCTTGAACCAAACACAAATTGCACATGAATTCCAGTCACAACAAGTAAAACAACGGTTGAGGCAATGAAATACAATACTTTGCTATGCTTGGCCATAAGATAGGCCTCACTCAAGGCCACCATTAAACTAATGATTAGTATCCCACCCCCAAAACCACAAAGTTTCATAGCTACAATGGAATATCTACATTTGCTTCTTGGCTTTGTGGTCCCAACACTTGGTTGGGAGATCAGTGACTCCTCATCTTGCCACTACAATGCTGACAAAGGAAGTCAATAAGAGTGTCAAGTTGTTTATCAGTAACTTGAATATTACAGCAAATAAAAATGCTCACTATGTCTACAACGCACTCAAGTTATAGCTGACCATGCCAAATTCAAGTGCAAGAGGCAACATACTGCAATTTTTGATAAAGAAGGTCTCAACAAAAGAGAAGCCAGAGGAAGATTGGAGGAGTCTGCAAGCAATTTGTTGTGAGGCAGAAAAAGAGATGAACAAGAGGAAGAAGAAGCATATTACCATTGACAGGGTTACTTTTATGAGACGACTTGGAGGTGGGAGAAGCTGTCAACAAGCAAATAAGGAAAATCATTCCTGGCTTACATCTGAAGAAGAGGAGAGCATTGTTGAGTATTGCCTTGACCTTGCAGCAAGAGGCTTCCCACTCGATCACAAAAGGCTCAAATTTCATGTTAACACCCTCCTACAAGCACAACTTGGCAATTCTTTCCCAGAGACAGGGGTCGGAATGAATTGGACTAGGTGTTTTCTTAATTGACACTCAGAGTGCTTGGGCACATATTGGAGTTCTCCACTTGATTTTGCTCGTGGGTGGCAGTCAACAAGCACACACACAAAGCATGGTGCAACTTACTCGAGAGCACCATCAAGGATAATAAGGTTGTCAAGGACTGCATCTCGGCAGCAGACAAGACTGGCTTCCAAATTGGGAATGGACACAAACAGTGTGTTATTGGTCCTGCACAAAGGAAGATGCAACATTAACAGCGGGATGGAAATCACAAGAATATCATTGTGATGGTGATCATCTGCGCTGATGGTGGATCAATTGCGCCAACTATTATCTACAAGGGGAAGCCATTTTTGACAAATTGGCATTAAGACAATACTCTGAATTCCTTGTGAGTTCGCTTTGCTGGGCCTCTGACTAGAGTACTAAGGACTCACATAATTATAGAGTTGCTCATTCGCCCAAAGGGGTCCACTGATGGTGGTGCAATTGGACAACTTTGGATTGAAGACTTTGATAACAAAACCCGCAAGAAAGTGCACAGGCAAGCTCGTCTTCTCATTGTTGATGGCCATAACTCCCATTACACAAAGGAGTTCCTAGATTACACCAGGGAACATAATATTCATGTTTTGTGCTATCCCGCACATGCCACTCACATTTATCAAGGCCTTGATGTTGTTGTTTTTAGTCCATTGAAGAATTATTGGACGGAGGTACGCAACACATTAAAGAGTTCTACATGTCAAAAAATAACTAAAAAAAACTTTATCACAATCTATGAAATAGCTCCTCTCAAAGCACTTACCCCTGAAACTATTTGTTCTGCATTTAGGGCAACTGGGGTCTGGACACTTGACCAAAACATCATCTCAAAGTCAGCTGCCACTTCCACAGCCGAGCCCTGTTTGTGTCATCACATCTCTTATGTGTCAGTATCAAAACAAGGCCAAAGATATTCAATGTGATATCTGATATGAACTCTATAAGGATAATGTTAGATGCTCAGTCTTGTGTAGAAAAGACTGAGGAAGGATGGAAATCTACAAATTTTTGGTGTAATTGTGGGAAAATTATGTATTAGGTAATACTTATAGAAGCAAAAAAGATAGGATGGGGTTTGAAGACATAGATAGAAAGAAAAACATAATAGAAGTGAATGTATAATACTAACACAATGCACCCCATTTCCATCAACCCCCATGCCAGCCTCCAGCCAGGACAGCAACAACAACCCATTCATCAACTCAGGTTGTGGCAACACCTTGGTACAGCGGCATTGACCACTTTGGCACACAGTGGCAAAAGACACTATCAAATCACTTGCATCTACATCAGCTTCATTTCTTGTTGCTGATACCACTCACCTCCCACCTTTCACACCATCCCAAATCTCCCCAACACATTGCAAACACACACACCCTCTGCTAGATGAAGAACCAGCAAACAAAAAAGAGAAAGCTTACCAAATGGCATTACACAAATCCTATAAGCAAAAGCTTGCATCAAAAAATGCACTCGTTGGAATGCAGCCAACTGTTGTTTTGTTTTGCAGTTGATGTTTTGTGATTGTCTGTTAGGTCAGCTGGTAGCGCAGGAGGAAAAATGAAAGAGAAGAAAGAAGGGTCAGCTAAACAGTAATAGACTGCCAAGATTACTCACAGGTGATGAATTTTATAGTTGTGTGGTTGAGTATCAAACCGCTTTGGATGCAGCAAAAGCGGCAACAAGAAGATTGTTGTAAACAAAAGGAGCAATCTGGGGTGTTGACAGAGTGGAAGAAATTAGATAATTTGCAGAAAACTCAGAATACAGCACGCAGAGAAGCTTACCATGAGGCCATGCACTTGTGGAAGGAGGAAAGTAATCTTGCAAAACAGGAGCAAAGGCAGGTGGGGTGGGCAAAGCTGAAGCTAGGAAAGCTGGAGTCACAGGCTCCAAAACCAGGACCTGTGCAAGGTAAAGGTGATGAGACAAGCAAGGGTAATGGGGAGGTTACTGGCAGTGAGGATGAGCAAAGTGATGAGAACATTGATGGCATGGAGAGTGATGGTGAGAGCGCAGAGGAGTAACCAGTGCTACCGTGGAAATATTGCTAAGATAATGCTGTTTGCTGTCACTTGGTCACTGACTTACCCGTTTTGGTGATTGATGGAGCATCCATGATAAGCAGTCAATCCTTGTGCAAGCAAATTGGTGTAAGCAAATCGTAAAAATACAGCATTCAAATTTTATTTTATCTTCTTTATACTATATGCTTGAGTATATACTGAAGTCATCCTACCAGCTGATCTTAATAAAATGTTGTTGCTATGAATACAGAAGCGATCAAAAACTTGGTGGTCCAAGTGCCGGTAGATAACTGTATATACATATTTTTGGTTGTGTATTGCGCGTTTACTAGTTCTCTACCACACTCATTAAAGTGCACCTGGAGTGCCATATCGTCAGATCCTAAATACACTATTTTTGCACTTTTTAATTCACTAGAATGTTGTGGTACTATTGTTGGACACCGAATGCAACCGGTAAGAGATATGCACTTGGGCCTCCAGAGGCTCAATGATCACTGTACAGGTAGCTAGAAAATTGTCAGACGTAGAATATAGTATAGAGAATATATTTGTGAAAGAACTTAGTGAATAGCTTATCTGTAGCAACAACGACAGACCTGACACTATGCTCTTGAACTTTAGAAGTGTGAATTTTGAGGGAAAGATGGCCAGATTTGACCAGATCTCGTCCTGGGAATATTGCAATATCTTTCTAGAAAACGTCAATAGGTAGGCCCCTACAATGCCAGATACTTACTGAGCTGATTGGGGCCTTAAAGCGTCTGGAGAAACGAAAACAATGATGGAGTCGTGACTAGGCGACCGAAACAGGTAATCACACACCAAGATAATCAATCAAGGACCGCTAGCTCCGCTTCGGTACGTACCGCACATACCACCAGCGTCAGGACTTGGTGTGACCTGGCGGAATTTGACTTGTAAGCTCCGCCTGATTTGGTCTGTGAGTGCCGCTGTGACCCAGTGTGACCAGAAATTGCAGAACCATTCCAAAACATGTGTCGTCTTTTCGGTTTTGTTCCGCTGCTCCAATGCTTCAAGTTCTTGCTTATTTTTCTACATAGGCAGCTAGAAAACTAAAAATTATATCTACTGGTCAAGTTCCGACAGTCTAAAGCTCAACGACTGGTGAGTTATTCAACTTCTCCCCAGACCAATTGCACCTATTGTCCAACAATAGTAATGAGTGCTAATTCAATCTGTTGTTTTGTTGAGTTTGTCTGTCTGCAACTGTATATTTTGTCGACTGGCGATGAGTGACGATGAAAGTATTGGTCAATGTGGCGTGACAATGGTGGTTGAATATTTTACCATTCACGTATTTTTAAGTATTAATCTAATAATCTGTAGTCTGCAGCTCGAGTGGGCGCAACGGGACTATAGAAGGGCTTTCTCCGCCTGTAGGGTTCAAAAGAATCAGAAGCCCATCCTGTAAAGGACATGTAAAGACGAACTTTTCGCCCGCTGCGGCGGATGGAAACGACCCGAATAGGTCAGGATGTTTTGGCAATGGAGATTCACTGACAGACCATGATCAAAGAAAATAAGGACCTTGGCATATTAACAGATAATTACTTGAAATAGGGATGTTCCAACGCTTCGTCGGCGCGAACTCTCTTCCTCGGATTGTACGTGAGCAACGACCTGATAAGGTCAGTTGCTGAGCCTGCCAAATGATCCAGTCTTTGCTGTAATCGACGAGGATGAGAAGAGGAAAAGTTCATGCTTCTGCCCGGGGATGATAGGGAACTCTCTGACAGCAGAGAGTTGGTAGAAGGTCCCAACAGCTCTTGTATCATACCTAAAAGTTCAATCTCGGTTTTGGCTTGAAATAATGGCTCTTTCAAAAGCAATTCGGCAAAGATACACCCAACAGACCATATGTCAACAGCGGTAGAATATGTACTGGCCCCCAAAAGGATTTCGGGGGCGCTGGGCGTTTGATGATTTAGAGTGCTCCATACTATAGATAATAATTTGACTGACCGGTACCAAAGCGTGACTACTAATTGCGTCATACCACCTACACCGACAGGATCACCGTACCTCCTAGCAAGTCCAAAATCTGCTACCTTGATTATACCGCGGTTGTTCATTAATATATTACTGGTTTTTAGATCTCGGTGGAGGATCCAACAAGAGTGGCAGTGATAAACGGCGGAAAGTAGTTGTAGCATCAGAGTCTTGATTTCGGAATGCAAAAATGGCGAAGGCATAGCAGTAAGAAGAGATTTAAGGTCGTGTTCGATGAAATCCATTGCGACGAAAACTCTTGCGGTACTGCTCGTTGAGCTACATATACGGTTGGACAGATGGATGGGGATGAATTCTTACTGTGTCAATGTGTCACCGACCACCACTTCCCTAATCGCCACCACGTTCTGGTGACGACATGTCATTAAGGCCTTGATTTCACGCAGTGCGGTAATCGGAAAGCCCTGTGTTTCATCTTCTAGTTTCAGTTTCTTCAAAGCCACAATGATTCCGGTTTGTTTTTCCATAGCACGAAATACAACACCATAAGAGCCTTCCTCAATTTCGTTGAGCCTTTCGTAGCAATAAACGGATCGGGAGGATTGGATGATTGGATGGTGAGACCGAGAAGGGGCATGCCAACTAGAAGACGACGGTTTCATGGTCAACGTTAAGTCGGTCGGCTCCAGCCCTCACACCCAGTCAAAAGTGGTAAATTATAGAGTGATGTAAATGATAGAAAAATGAAGTAAATGATAGAAATTGTGAAAAATGGTGTGAACGGTAGTTATATTTCTATATATATCTATTGGTATCGTCAATCAAGATTTCGGTAAAAATGCGAATGAGATCATTTTGATCTCGAACTTGTGTCGAGCTGTGTGTCGAGCTCGAACCGTTTGCGTTCAGTTGAATCGAGTGCAAAGGACGTCACGATGATTTCACTGCGACGTTCCTTGCACTCAATTTAACTGGCTTCACTCTGCTTTCAACCGATACAAGGCAAATCTGTAAGTTTATTGTCTTGCTACATCTAAACACCTGCTTACCTTCATGCATCCGAATCAGACAGCTAACTTCATTATAAGTCTATGAGAATAAGATGGCAGAGAGGTCTGAATCAAGAAACCTTCCTGGCAATAATCATGAGAATAAACGATGGTGTGAATGCACTCCCCTCTGCAATGTATGCAGCTGGATATCCATCAGATCATAGTCCCGACATGCACCACATTGAATGGACATAAATTTGTCGGATGAAGTTGACCGCTATCTGGAGCACAGGACTAGGAGAATACCCCAGCAAGTCAACGAACAAAATGGCGAAACCGGATAAACCCGGTCTCTGCCGAAGCAGCCATTGTTCTCCATGGAGTAACCATTGTTCTCCTAGGAGTCATTATACTGTAGCAAGTAGCACCTCCGACTATAAGTAGTAGGGGTTTAGTATAGGAATACCTCAGTCGTTTCTATAGCCTCTCGGGCAGTGGCTGAGGTACATTACATTACATTTATTAGAGATCACCTTAAACTAACATCTATTGTAGTTTCACTTAGGTAAATAATAAAGTCATTTCTATAGCCTCTTGGGCAGCGGCTGAGTTCCACTTAGGTTTATTACAAAACTCAGGTCCTTCTTGGGTATGTTTCAATGAATTTGTCATTCATCCATATATAATTTACTATTTAAAAGGTATCAGACGGAGCTCCTCCAGACGAAGCTCCTTCAACTATAGGCCTAACTGAACAGGACCTTGAACAAATGGCCAATCTTGCTCGCCTTGAAGACCTCAAAACAACAATGGAATTCATTAACACTATTAACAGTGCCTCGTTGGATGACCACTATCACCAGAACCATTCTGGCCTTGTGGAACATCTTTGAAATCCCTCTCAAGAAATATTCACCATCAACGATCCCTTCATCTGCTACTCCCTCGACCTCTTCCTCGCCACAAATAACACTTCCAAAGACACTTACAAAAAAGCACGTGAATCATACTACCGCCTACATCCAGAGAATCAAGGCAAGATTCTTTTGTTATACCAAATCAAACACTTTGTGGCCAAGGAAAGTGGAGTCAACAGTATCATTCACAACATGTGTGTGAATAGCTGTCTTGCATTTACTGGACTTTTTGCTGCACTTGAGGTTTGTCCAAAATGTCAAGAACAATGATACAATCAACACCAGCTGAGACAGAGCAGAGGCAAAAAGAAAATACCCTGACAAACCTTCCACACAATCTCCCTAGGCCCCCAACTTGAAGCTCTCTGGTGAGATCCTGCAAGTGCTGAACGGATGTGTTATTGAGACTGACGGACTGAAGACATTTTTGATGAATTCATTCAAGAAAGACATATTGACGCATACAACTATGTTCTAACAGGATCTGACTACCTACAGGCTGTACAGAATGGCAAGATCAAACCAGGGGACTTTGTGGTTATGCTCTCAATTGATGGGGCTCAACTATACGGGAACAAGACTTCTGACTGCTGGATCTACATATGAGTAATATTCGATCTCTCACCTGATAACCGCTACAAGAAAAAGCATGTCATCCCAGGCGGTTTTATCCCAGGACCAAACAAACCAAAAAATATGGAGTTATTCCTGTTCCCTGGATTACACCATCTGTCAGCCATTCAGAAGGAGGGTCTCAAAGTTTGGGACTCATCAAGGAACATAATATTCGACAACCATCCGTTCTTTCTGATGGGCTTTGCTGACGGCCCAGGGATGGTTTATCTTTTAGGCTTAGTAGGCTATCATGGCAGGTTTGGTTGCAGATTATATTGTGGTTTCAAAGGCTGGCACAAGCCTGGAGTCCCACATTACTGTCCAGCCCTCCTCAAACCAGTAAACTACGGAATACTAGGATGTGACCATATGGATGTTTCAATTAATAACCTCCCATCGTCATCTTCCACTCTCTATCGTCAGAATACACAAAAATTTCTCATGGCACCAAATGAAGCCCAATACAAACAACTCCGACTCAAAACTGGTATTGCAAGACCCAGTATACTACTGGGTTTACAGGCCAACAATCTCCTACCAGTTCCTTACTCATTAGGATCTGACCTCATGCATCTAGCAGCTATCAACATACCGGACCTTCTTATCCCACTCTGGCACGGGACATTTGACTGTGAAGACACTAATAATAAAGCAACATGGCCCTTGGTTGTCTTAGTTGGTCGCCAATGGAAAGATCATGGTGACGCTGTTGTTAATGCTACAACATATTTACCAGGCTCTTTTGATCGACCACCATGCAATCCAGCAGAAGAAATCAACACTGGCTATAAAGCCTGGGAGTATTTGCTGTATGTCTATGGGCTTGGACCAGCGCTTCTCCATGGATTACTCCCTGACCTGTACTGGAAAAACTGCTGCAAGTTAGTGATTGGCATACATATCATGAGTCAATATTCCATCACAAAGAATGAGTTATGCCATGCACACAAAATGCTTGCTGAGTTTGTCCTGGAATTTGAACATTTGTACTACCAGAGGCGTGTCGACCGACTGCATATGATCAGGCCATTATTACACTCAATACTCCATTTGGCACCTCAGACTATCAAAAGCGGGCCCCCCATCTGTTCGTCACAATGGACCATGGAGTGTACTATCGGCAACCTTGGTCAAGAAATTAGGCAACCCTCAAAACCTTATGCTAAACTGTCACAGTGTAGCGTTCAACGTGCACAAGTCAATGCACTTAAGGCCATGGTGCCTGATTTAGAATGGGAGCCTCCTCTCATTCCTCAAGGAGCAAAAGAGCTTGGCCTGGGTTATGTTCTCCTAAGGGCCATGGAAAAAACCGCAAAGCCAGTTTGAGCTTGTGAAGTTGATGCTATAAACACATACATTTAACTTTTACACCCCCAACATCAACAAGTGGCTAGCTTCAAGATACACAGATGGGCACGTCTGAGACTTCCTAATAGACAAATTGCTTGCTGTCGCTGGAAAAAGGGTTCGGGCTGAATGCACATTGAGCACACAATGTTAAGGTATGCATTATAAGTTCATCAAACATATCTACTCACAATCCTCACAGATATACACTAATAAATCCAACAATCCTTTATTAGCTGAAGTATTATATTACACTCAAATAAAAGTAGCCGGACAAGTAAATACAATCGTGATGGTCTCTCAGTTTTCCTCGCCAGACTTGGATCTCCTCCATTCCTTAGCTTAGACATTATGGTCATGTGAGCATCATATTGACATGTTGCTTAAGGTGATTGATGTCAAAGACATCCACTTTGTTGTCGCAATGGTCCCACATGAGATGCTGGGGCGTCCTAGGTTTTTTTTGGTGGAGAAACCAGGCTTAGATGTGGCTTGTTTGGGAGGGATGGATGAGGTGGAAGATGTGGACAATGATGTATTGTAAAAACCAGTAGTATAGTATATGTACAAGTATAATAATACAAATGGAACTTTGATACCTTAAACTTGTACCGGCACATTTTCAGCTTTCACCCTATTATTATCATCCTTAATCTCCTCCTCTGACCTGCTACCAAATAATTTGATGCAACAAACTTTGTAGCCAACTATTGGAGCCCCCCCCCCTTAAGGAGGTGCAGTTGGGATTGTAGTGACACTTGAGGCAAATAAAAGGATGGGCTGTGACGTTGGTGCCAAGATCCTGAATAAAAATCCTAGAGTATCATAGTGAAGTGAGAATATGCACAAATACATGAAAAAAAAAGACTTATGGAGGATTATCCAATGTGCGGTCAGGATCAACACTCTGCGTTGCTTCTAAAAGTTGAGCTTCATTATTTTGTCTGGCCTGATCTCTGATGTGGATGACAAGAGTCTATGTAACAAAAAAAAGGACTCGGTGATTTAAGGGGATCACAAAATTGACTCACCATTTCACCAAACTCATTGGGAGTGAACTTGAACGAGTATGTGTGCCATTGCAATGAGAATATTGTCAACATTGAGAATAAGGATGTTCTCACAAAGGGAGAAATGTTCGTTGTTGGTAGCTATAAGAATAATAACAATGATGAGCATAACTGATTGAGGTGCCTCATGCTGAGCTTAAAATGACACGGTGTGGGGTGTATGCAGAGATTAAATGTATTATCACGTACCTTAATCTCTTTCCTCAATGTCGTTATCTGATACCCCCCAGGTCTCTGGCAATAAAGACTGTTTTTCTTCATTGAGTCCAGTTATGAGCTGTAGTCAGAGTAGTACTAGTAGTAGCTCTTTTGATGGATTATCATCCGCAATCCCTGGTATTGTAAGTCCTCTGATAATGATATCATATCTTTTGATCACACAGGTCCAGAAGACTCTACAACAGATCATTGAAGCACTTTTTTGTCGTGACACACAGATCAAGGCTTCTAAGAAAACCTCCACCCTATCAGAAGACTCTCATTACATTGCTCTGACTAAGTGGATTGATGAATTGGAGAATCAAAATAGGGCCTTACGGTGCATTGTTCCATAGTGTTCCGTACTCACATAATAATCTAATTTACATTGTGTCTATTCAGGGAGAAATATGAACCGGATATGCACAAGTTCTGAGAAACCGGATTCAAGATAACTAAGTATGATCCCCTTTCACAGAATGAATATCCTCTGGTAAACTTCTGGACCAAGCGGGAGCTATTGAAATTTCAAAGGAAGAATCAAGGGGTAGTGAGGATAGATGGTGACCCCTTGGATGATGAAGAAGACCTTGATGGAGTCCCAATTCACGGTCCGGGTTGTTTAGCTCGAGGAAAAAATGTTACTATGTGGTACATTGAAAATCAATATGGAGTGCCTGTTAGTGGCAATCATGCAAAAACAATGCGAGTTTTTGTTCTGGAGTTGTTTAGTAGCCTCAACAATAGGGGTTATGCAACACAAAAATGGACGGAGGTCCCTGAAATAGGTAAAGAACTATACTACAAGGCAATGGAAACAAAATTCAGTGAACTGCAACTATGCAAGGGATATTAGAAGGTCAATCATATCGCAACAAAAGTTTACCCCAGCTGGCACCGTTACCACATGAAGAAGATCAAGCTTGTCAAAAAGGAACAAGACTCCGGGGATTCTATATCTGGTAAATGTGCTAGAAGCAACTCAAAGTCTGACATTATTGAGGAACCACCTGCAAAGAGAACCAATGTCACAAATTCTTCACCACCAATTGCACAAATCACAGAGTCCACCCATGGACAACATATACAAGATTTTTCTTTGACTGGCATGCCAAAAATTGATATTTGCAATCCCCATGTGAGTACTAGTTATTTTTACAACAAGAAATATATTTATTTGACTAATAATAAATACAGTGCTGGTGTCCGTTTGGATATCAGCTTGCCAGGTATCTCTTGCGACTCCTTGCCAGGTCTGGATGTATTGGAAAGTACATCCGGCTCTTCCACCATCAATTCATCGGCCTCAGACTCCACAAAACTAGCACCACCTACCAGAAAGGGCAAAAAGGTGGTAAAGAGTATCTTCAGGGCTTCAAAAGTGTTCACTGCATAGTAAAATTTTACTTTCTTGAAAGCTCACTATTATACAGACATGATTTTGAGTAATTATTGTGGAATTGAATGGCTCAAAATGCATGCCAAGGGGACGCGGGAAGAATTCAAATTATATTATAACAGTCTCTCTTCTTGTGATATAAAGTATGGTTTCATTTCTGTTATTCTATTCTACTAACCAATTGTTCTGGATAGGTGTACAAAGACTAGGCTGTAGCAGCAAAAAAAGTATGTCTCATTTTATGTTGCCGTGCTTCTCACTGACATTGTCTCTCACAAGGGGAGTTCTGCTACAGGAACAACATAATGGCATTGTGTGGGAGGTGGATGAGTGATTCTGTTGGGGGGGGAGGTTTGTTTTGCTTTTTTTTGCAGTTTTTTCGATTTTTCTTGCTTGTTCTCGCTTTCTGTTGGGTTTCTTTTGTGTTTTCTGGCTCGCAATCACTACCTATATTATTCTGTATGCATGCACAATATTGTATATCACTGCCAATAGATTTTTTTGATACCGCACAAAATTAATATGAGTGAAATCAGTCTATTGAAAGCTATATACATAATTTTTAAGTGATATATTTTGTATCAATCACTATAGGAATATTTCGTGAATTTGGCCACCTTCTTTATAGGTTGTTAGAATATTTATGTGTAGATATAACTCTATATACAAAGCTAGGGTTCTGTAATTTATATCAGGTGACGCATGTTCATTACATTTTCACAATTTTTATCATTTACTTCATTTTTCTATCATTTACTATTACTCTATTATTTCCCACTTTTGACTGGGCCTCACACCCAGTGAGAACTGGCCATGCTTGGAGCTGCCTGCAAGTAACCAAGCAAGCGCCAGATTGTGTTTTTTTAGACGTAGAAAGCAGACTCATGTATATGGCACTGCAAGCAACGGCCAAAATCCCCTGTTGCAACAAATATGTGCCAGCCCACAGCATGGAAAAAAGTTGCGCTGACACTTCACAGTGAGGAGAATTTCATCATCCCAAAATGATATAGAAAATTACAAATGAAACATTAAATTAATTTTGCATCAGCATTTTGGTTACATGAAAGAAAGAATGTCAAGCGACATTAAAATACTAATTAAAACCATTATTAAAGAGTAGTCAGAATATTTAATTTAGTGTAAAATCACTTCAAATTGTTTGAAATTCAACGGAAAGGTTTCTAGCTCTACAAAATTTAATATTTTAACAAATATAACCGCAAAACCAAAATATCTTATTTCTTGCCTTATTTTCTGATGTTGAAAAAATAGGTATTTTATTGACCGTTTAAGGAAGGGCCAAAATAAGATATTCCGAGATACAGTTGATTGTCTCATAATGCATAATGTTGGGACCCCCCAAAACTACATGCAATACGAGACTTATGTGCTACCAGAGGTGTTACAATGTGTGACTATATGTGACCTAGGGTGACTTGGCTGACTCCCACAAGCAGTGTGACAACAACGCAACACCAAACACTTTGAAACACTCCTATTCTATTCTATGAACGAATCTAGCGTGGTTTGCCTAGCATTTTGGACCTCTTGGCATCGTAGAAATGCTCTATAGTGACAAAGCTGCCCCATCAAGTCCAGCAATCCCCCCCAACCTGCCTGTTGGATACAGCCTTGTTCAAGATCCTGGCACAGGCTCATGATCTCGGCGCAAGTCCATGATTGTGATGGTGTTTTGTCTTCTTCGTCCGACTCCACACTAATCATGTCCTCTTCACTAGCCATTGACTCTCAGACCTCAACCTCAGCAACAATCTCTCTATCATCAAGTGCAAACTCTTCATCAATCAACCTCTCTGCAGCTGGATTGACGAATTCATTGACTGTCAGAGGCTTGCCAAAGATGCGGTTTCAAGATTTGAGTTCCCCAATTGCATTTTCTAGCTGATCTTCAATATTACTGAGCTGCAGCAGCAGTTTTGGAAGTGCAGGTATTTGTATCTTGAGGCCTGTTTGACTGGCAGCTGCATTTGCAAGACTTTCAACTGTGGCAATCACAGCTTCTGTGTCACCTTCAGCATCCATAAGGGTGTTCAATGCTGGCCTCCAGTCTCCATCCGAATATCGCCCAGACAAGGCCTGTTTGATGCAAACTTCAGCAATTGGTAATGTCATAGAGTCACTGACTGCAAATTCTCACATAACACCCCACGCAATAGGATTTGTGTGTGCTTGTATATCATTGTATGGGATAGTTGTTGGAATGGAGGGATTTCTGTGCAAAGAATAGTTAAAACTTGAAAATGAGAGCAATTAAAATCAGATCTTGACATACGGTTGAATTTGACTGTGATCCCAGCAGTGATAGATAGTAGTTGATGTAACTGCTTCCCAAGCAGCCTTTGCCATCAAAATACCTGCAAGTAAATTGATTGAATAAATGTCCCTCTCGCCAGCTTCATCAAGGTCAAGTGCTTTTGTGCAGTAAGTCTTCCTATATCCAGCCTTGAAGCAGCGGATGATGCCTGTGTTAGTTTTGGTGATTCTGCACCTTTGTGCTACCTATATATTTTCATTCCTTTCTCTATCTATTCTTCTATCATTCACTATTGATTGTGTTCTCTATTATTTCGCCTTTGTGGCTGCTTTGTTTACCTTTGTTTACAAAACTTCGGACAGTACTGCAGAGTCCAATGCTTCCTATTCTCTAGTTACTCACATTGGACTCTAGGTACTGTATACCTGTCATACTCTCTAATAATAAAGTTACTCACATTGGACTCTAGTTTCAGTCCCTGATTGCTCTCAGCAAGTGGCTAGACACTTCCTTCAAGCTTTGTTCTTAATAGCCTGCATCACATGGCTGCACAAACAAAGTCATATTTGCTTTGAAAACCTCCATCAAAATGCTTCATCCATCTGTATACTGTGATTAGCACTCTCATGACACTAAATGTGGGCATGCCTTACTCTTCAAACAGTGCAGTAGTCATCCAGGCCTTCTTATTATTCCAGTAATAAATCCCAAGCTGCTTTGGTGATTGCTTTTTAAAGCAGTGTGGCCTCCTTGACTTCCCATTGTAAATGGGCTTAAACTTCTCGCTCCCATCTGTATTGCATGCAAGACCGAGCAGTGTGGCCTTCTTGACTTCCCAATGTAAATGGGCTTAAACTTCTTGCTCCCATCTGCATTGCATGCAAGACCGACGGAGATTTGGAACTTCTCCTTTTTCTTCCCACTCATTTGCTTTGTTGCGAGGCCTCGGTCTGGTGGAGCGCTGTGAGATAATCTTATCAGCTTGATTCTAGAATGCCATGCAGTTAGAAAACTCACAATGGAAATAAGCCTGTTTTGTCAAAATTCAACTGATCTCTTGGAGCATATTGCAAGAGAATCTTTTGGCACTGCTCACGCTCAGCACTGACTGCGTCAAGATTAACTGACCCTGCCTCACCATGCTGGCAATACTCTTGGATGTTGTAGGTCCTACAAAAGGATGCAACCCATCCATCACCTATCAGCCGCTCCTCAATTGGCACCTGAAAATCATCTTCAAAGCGCTTCTGCTTCTCCTTCAGCATCAGCCCAGTAAAGTGCTCGCCCCTAGCTTCCATGCTCTGGATCCACAGGACTAAGGCCTTCTTGACATCAGGTCTTGTCACAATCCGCGGGTGTTTTGCTGACAAAGCACTTGGATTGTCATTGATGCAAGCCTCCAATGCGATGCAATCCTTCAGTTTCCATGATAAAGTCGACTGCGTGAAGATCAGCACTCCTGATTTCAAGGTGCAAAAGTGTGCAACAATGTCTGCTTGTGGTGTTTTGGGGTGGGTATCGATGTAGGTGAAGACAGCAAGCCAGTCTGCTAGTGTAAGGTTCTGTCTTGATCTCTGCACTGGAGGAAGTTGCAGGTGCATCTTTGTTTTTTGCCGCTCTTGGCTGGTGGTTGTATGGGCGAGGCTTGTTGCGAGGTTTTCGTTTCTCGGCAATAGGCATAGGTGCAAATTTGGTTTTTTGTACAGAAGCCCAATTTCAAGCAGTATACATATGCATTGAGGACAATAATTGGTAGTGAACCAAACATTGCACCGAGCCCATTCACCCAAATTACCATCTAATACTGCATAACAAGGCCTACAGTACAATCTGTTATGCATTATGCATATTTTTTCATTTTCCCCGCACCCCATTGTGGGATCCACAAAAAGTCGATGCATTACCAGAATTATGCACTATGAGGCAATGCATTATGATACAATCAACTGTACTTGAAATGCATCGCCCACCCGTCGCCCAATCATTGGCCAACAGTTGTTTGCTCACGGGGCATCTGTTTCCCTACAAATTCCCTGCACAACAGACAGATACACCTACCTGTGAGACTGCTGTAGAATTTAATATCTGAGAAATGAGTGTCAAAGTGTGCTCGATAGATTCAGATAAGAGAGAGAGGTGTTTCAAGAAATTAGACACAGTTATACTACATCATTTGCAACAAAAACAAAAGCTTATACAAAGGGCAACCTTGATCTAGTAATATATTGACAAGCAAAAAACCCAATTTTATAACACATATTTGGCATACAACAACATAGGCATAGATATCTAAGTAAAATCTAAAACCACAACAAGATAGGGCCACTTTGTCACTGCACTCAAAGAACTTAGTGGATCTCCTGTTTATAACCATACTGTTCACCCATGTCTTTGCAGCCCTCAAATCAGCAGTATTGTTGGTGATGTGATCTAAGTGCACAAAACCATTTCTTGGAAGAGGACAACCAAAAGCCATGATTGACCTCCACCCATGAAATTTGAATTGTTTGGCCACCATGAAGATTGCAACATCTGGGGGCCATTTCCTGTGTATAAATTATATATCCCTGAAATAAGATCCAGCTCATCCTGGGATAGACAATCATTGATAAAAAAACAGCTGTCTGAAGTCCGAAAGACTTGCTTTGGTTCCCCGGGATTGCTTGAGGGTCCTGATAGGACTGATTCCAGGGCTAGGACATCAATTCTGAAACACCATGCAAGTCCACCTTGTAGCAAAGTGACATGTCCACAACTACCAAGCAGAAGCTTGTTGTGGAAGTTCTCATAGCAGGTGCAATCAATGATATCTGGTCTATAACCATCCTTACGAGATCCTAGAGTGACACTACAGGCAGTACAGCAGCGGGAGGTGTTCCGACTTGCAAAAGAGCGTTGAATAGTATCCCCCTTGCTACAAGCTGTAATGCAATATCTTCCAAACTGGGCCCAAAGCCACGCCTTACACACTCCATGACGGCTGTAGAGTTGTTTACACAAATCTCCCATCCTGGAGATGCATTTGTGTTGTGAGGACCAAGTAAGTAATGATCTTTACAATTGCCTTCAAAATGAATGGGAGTGATTGTGAAAGGGAATTCATGGACTTGGATGTCCAAGATAGGTGGCAAGACATCCTTAGCCATTTTGTATTGAGGAAGAGACAGAAATGACGATGTGAAATAGCACGCAGAGGTGGCCCAGCTTGGGGGCTTTGTTCCAGACCCAATATCTCCTCCCATTATACCTCCTACATATTTTCACTTCATCACATTAATCCCCTGGTTATCGCTAACTGAGAAATCATCTTGTGGCACAAAGCTGTAGCGGTATTGCAGGACATCTTCTGGTGTAGGTACACTATGCCACAGGACCATCTGGTGTCCAGGAGTTGGCAACAGATCTTTGTGAAAAGAGGCGCCAATTGGGTATTGATACTCAGATGATATGGGGACTTGCCCTCTGAGTTACTCTAATGGACCTTCAGCCAGGATTGCATCCTCTAACCCCTGATCCACTGCAAAGTCAGGGCATATATCGCAGCCATGGGAGAAACTGTTGTAATATATATTTGTGTTGACCCAGAATCTCCAGCCAACACTGACAAATTACATCAAATTGCATACACTGCCATACCCAGTAGCTCCCAAAATCATGCTCCACACTCCACATATAAACATGACACTCCTATGTCTCTGGTTTTGGGAAGCGAGACATTTTCTTCTCCATATCAATTCACAGATACCGATTGTAGCTAGATTCACAGGCGCACAGCATAGTGTTTTTGTCATCCCTTTGGGCCATAAAATATCTCCAATATTCTCCAGGCCTATGTCTGCTTCCATTTTCAACTTGAAATTCCAATAGTTCATCACCTTTGTATACATCTGCAGGATAGTTGTAGCATGGAGTATATATGGCTTCCATCTTGCGCTGTGCTTGTTTGAAGTGTTCTTGCTCAATTTTCTCCTTATCAGCCTTTGTTGCATTCACGGCATGGGAAGAAGGGAAGTACTTGAGAATGGGATCTATCATGGCGAAAGGGTGCAATTGAGACCGGCCGTATATTTCATAGAAGAACCATATTGGAATACCGGTGTTTATTGTGGTAGAGACTATATTAATCCAGTCATAGGGTTTTAAGGCTTGCATAAACACACCACACTGTTTTATAGTTTTGAAATGTCACCCACAACTAATGCACGTAGATTTTTGACCCATTCTTCAAATCTCAACCATGAAGCACAGAAGTTTTTTGCAAGGAAGTACTGGCCGTCTATTTTTTCTATTGGAATTTTGGAGGGGAGAATGAGGTGGCTGAGAAGTGGGCCAGTGAATTTGATTCCAATGGGCATGTACCTGATATAAGAGTAAGTGCCAGAAGCCCAAGGTGGAATGAGTGTTTGACAAGGATGTATGGTAGACCTATGAACATCTTTTTCAGATAGAATATAGGGGAAAATCTGCATTAGGCAATGGGAACACCCGGAGAGTGTTGTCCAGATGGATGAAGTAGTGATCTGTTGACTTTGACATCTGCAATTAATTCTGACAGTAAAAAAAAATAGCCAATGTAGATAGCACAATTTTATGCTTACGCACGCTCGGACTAGATTTTTGAATTTATGGGGTGGATACGGCTGATGTCGTGGTTGGGAATCACTGTTTTTTACAGAGGTCCTCAACTGTGCAGTGGCACTGGTAATATTGTTCTTCTAAGAGTGTCTGTGATGTATAAACACCCCAGACATAGACTAGAGACACTTGGGTATGTTTGATTGTCTCAAATGTGTCTGATGTGTAAAAACACCACAGACACTGAGGATGGTGGTGGTACAGGGTGAAGGTGGAACTGGTGTCTGAGTGGTAGAATATAATTAGAGGTGGGTGAGCACAACTTGGCCATGTGACCATAAAAACCAAGTTAAACTCTGACTTGAGTACACCATCGCTTATTCATCAGCCACTGGCCAATATTCTAACTTGGCGCTGCAACTGAGGGGTTTTACCTCCCAGTCGTACACACTCAAAGTTCTTGGTACTACAACTGGGGCTTTTTCACATCCCAGTTATACACTCTTACCTGGTTAGTCTGTACCATTTTAGCGGTTGATGCAGGCAATTCTCCGAGTCTCATCTGCCTCGACCCTTCTCACTCATATTGACCACAACCAACATCCACCTGAAATTGGGAGGTTTTTAGCAACCCAATTGTACTTCCTATGGCAGTGCAACGTTGGTAAACTTGCATGGGACAGATTTGATCAGTCTATTTTTGACATTGTTCCACGATTTAAGCTCATCCTCTGCATTGATATGCCTCTGGGCCGCTTTGCAATACAGTTTTATCCTACAAAATGTCTCTACCCCAAGATCCTCCAGATAGCTGTTTGGAGTGTCATAGAGCCTCTATTCTATTGCCTCTTGTTTAAAGTCTTCCAGCAGGTACTGGAATATTTTGCAATACCACTTGGACGATGTATCACTGTTCATATCAAACTTCAAGTCTTCTTGGTTGAGTCCAGACACTTTGTCATTACCCCTGTTAAATGCAATCAATCCGCAACGCCTGATGGTGCCTGCAATGCAAAGTCGTGATCTCAGCTGGTCCTCACACTCTGCTCTTGCTTCAGCTTCCTTTCTATTTGTCTCCTCCTGTTTTCACCACGCTTCAGAATATCAAGCTGCCATTTTTTTCTTCCAATCTTCCTGCTGAGCTGTCTTCTTAGCTTCAGCCTGTGCTATACTCCGGCTTAGGAGCTTTTCAAATTTTATCTTTTCCTGCTCTTCTCTCCTTATATACCTGATTTCCTGTTCCTTCAATGCAGCGGCAATGCTGGCTTTGACTCTAGCCATTTCAGTTTAGTCAGCTTGTGCAGTTTGCATGCACCACCAAAGCTAGAACAAAAATTAATGCTATGATATCTTGGACCACAAATTAATTACAATCACACTCACTTTTGATGACATGTAAATCCTCTCTCTCTGTTTCTTGTGCAAATGCTCACGGAGAATATCAGATCCATCAACCTCAAAGTACACTCTCTTGTAGCTTGTCTCTGGGGGCCCCAGCATCATGGGTGTAGCCTGCTAGGTAGCTGTTAGAGGAGTAATGTCATATATGAACAAGCTCAAGTATACTGGGAGCTGTGATTGTGTAGTATAGGGCACAGATCTTTTCACAGAAGCTTCATAGGGATTATAATCCGCTAATCTCACAACCTCTGGATGAGCCCAAGACTGAATATTTTTGGTTAAATCTAAATCATTCCTATCAAAGATGACTCACCTGTGGTAGCGCAAACAAGCCGTCTCGGACCTCTTCTTATTCTTCATCAGAGTGGTTGCACATCATAGCTTCTGGAAGGGAGTCTCTAGCTTGATTATTTACAGATATATCAGTTGCTGTTGCTCCTGTATCCAGGTTTGGAATATCAGCCATTGAGCGATTACTTCTGTCTGGGTTATTGTTATATATGCCATCAAACATGGGATATGTATTGGTGTCCATGTTGCCCACAGAAGCAGTTGTTAGCAATAGAAAGAAACAGGGTTTTACAAAAGGATATCTTGTGATGGCCTGAATTTTATCAGAACCCGC